AATGAACGTGCCTGGGAAAGCAGCAGAGTATGAACCCAGTGCTTGGGCCCCTGCACCCAGGTGGGAGACCCAGAGGAAGTCACTGGCTTCAGACTGAAACAGCTTTGGGGAGGAAGGATCTCCATCTCTTCTTCTCTCACTGTGCCTTTGAAATAAATAGATGCAATCTTATAAAAATAACTAATTAAATAAGTCAGGTCATTTTTAAAAAGTTACACGGGAGTCCAATACGGTAGCCTAGCAGCTAAAGGCCTCACCTTGAATGTGCTGGGATCCCATATGGGCACCAGTTCTAATCCCAGCAGCCCCACTTCCCATCCAGCTCCCTGCTTGTGGCCTGTGAAAGCAGTTGAGGATGGCCCAAGGCCTTGAGATCCTGTACCCGTGTGGGAGACCTGGAGGAAGAAGTTCCTGGATCCTGGCTTCGGATTGGCACAGCTCAGGCCGTTGTGGTCATTTGGGGAGTGGATCATTGGATGGAAGATATTCCTCTCTGTCTCTCCTCCTCTCTGTATATCTGACTTTCCAATAAAAATAAAATAAATATTTTTAAAAAATTACAGGGGCTGGTGAAATGGCTCAACCGGCTAATCCTCCGCTTCTAAGTGCTAGGATCCCATATGTGCTGCTTCATGCCCCAGCTGCTCCATTTGTCCTCCAACTCCCTGTCTGTGGCCTGCGAATGTAGTTGAGGTGGCCCAGCACCCACATGGGAGATCCAGAAGAAGCTCCTGGCTCTGGGTCAGCTCAGCTCTGGCCATGGCAGCAATTTGGGGAGTGAACCAGACGACTCAACATCTTTGTTTCTCTTCTCCGTATATCTGCCTTTCCAATGAAAATAAAACAAACTCTTTATATACATACACATGTGATGGTCAGTATTGTAGCACAAGCACATTTAGTTCTGACTTGTTGGTATTTGGATATAAAAAGTTAAATCTTTACTGAATGGCACACGGGACACACCAGACCAGTTACTGCACACAGTTATACACATAGGAACCAGGGCTGGAGGCAGGTCTGTTGGGGGTTTTTGGGGGTCGCTCTAGCAGGGCTGCAGTTTCCACTGGCATGCATGAGGGTCAAGTGCGTACTGGGCAGGGCTGGGCTTGGCCACAGCATCTACTGGTTTGCATAAGACATGGGGTTGGAGACAGAACTGACTAGACAGCTACAACCACCAGTGTGTATAGACTGACGTGGGTGACAGACTGAGCTGGACTCCACAATGGCTAGTACACATAGGAATCAGATCTGGGTTCACCTCAGATAAGTTTCTTTGGGGACAATCCCTCCACAACTGAACTGCTGGACTCAGAACTCGAACCACAGGGAAAATCAAAATTTTAGGATCTTCAGTCTGACCGTGGAATGCATGAATCAGAACTGGGCCTCCTCAGTTGTTGAAGACAGTGCAGTGACAGCATGCCCAGATATGGCAGTACATTGGGAACCACGGAGGACATCTAGTACCACATCAGGAGATTGAGGACAGAACAAAATGGATAACTCTCCTAGCCAACCTCTGACAGCAAGTATCTGGATGAATGGAGACTCTAAGGCGGACTACGCCAGCCAATGGAAGGATATCTTCATCCTTGTAGCAATAAAAACAGCATCTCAGAACTATTAAAACCACTTCAGCAGTACCCTCGGAGCATGCTCCACATTAGGGACCCTGGGATGACAACAGGTGGTCGTCCCCCATCCCCAGGTACCGGGGCAGTTAGGATGTTGGGTATAGGTTCTTCCCTTCTCTCCCTTTCCCCAGATACAGGAAGAAGAAAAAGAAAATTGGAGACAATGATCTCATCCGCTTCTCCCTATGACTCTTCCACTTGATCAGCACTCCACATGGGCATGCATCTTTTTCAACTATGTAAATATCACCCCACCCTCCAAAAGTTAAAGCTTAAGGACCAGCATGGTGGTTAACAGGCTAATCCTCCACCTGCAGCACTGACATTCAATATGGGTACCAGTTTATGTCCTGGCTGCTTCACTTCTGATCCAGCTCCCTGCTAATCGAGTGGGAAAGCAGTGGAGGACGACTCAAGTCCTTTGGCCTTTGCACCCACAAGAAAGACCTGGAAGTTCTCGGCTCCTAACTTCAGACTGGCTCAGCTCCAACTGTTGCAGCCATTTGGAGAGTGAACCAGTGGAGGGAAGCTTTTTCTCTCTGTGTAACTCTGTCTTTAAAAAAAAAAAGAAAGAAAGAAAAGAAACAAAAACCCTTATTATAATGGTTAAAAAAGTAATAGCATCAGAGCAGGTACTAGAATAAATCTCCCCTCCAAGCTTCCCAATATTCTGTTCTACCAAAAACAAGACAAAACAAAAAAAATGAAATAAAAAAAAAATTAGGTTAAGCTGCTGCCTGCCATACAAGCAACTCTTATCAGAGTTCCAGGTTTAAGACCTGATCCAGCTCTCTGTCCATGAACCTGGGGAAGCACTAAGACAACCCATGTACTTCAGTCCCTGCCACCACGTGGGAAAGCTGGAGAGCTCTGGGCTCAAGGCTTCAGAATGGTAAGCCTCAACCACAGCCACCTGGGAAATAAAACCAACACAAGAGTTCTCTTTTTGGCTCTGCCTGGCAAATAAATAGGTAAATCTTTTAAACACACACAGACACACAAAGTTGGGTTAATAATTTGTGATTAGCTCACGGACATAAAGCTGTTCATAAGAGCATCAACTCCCTAGCCTAAGAATACCACTGATCAAATGCAAGTTCATTCATTCAAGTTCTGACATGTTAACATGACACAGCTAAAGCCACCAATAAGTCAGTGAGCCTTATATATTTCTCTAACCATCTATGTCTAGCCTGTGAAATACTTTACACAAATTCCTATTTACTGGGCAATCCAATCATATGTGAGGTGGTCATGCAGAAAGGGGCAGCTGAAATGGAAAACAGGGTACAAATGACAGCAGAAAGACTGCATAGAAACTGTTTTTGAACAAGTGCTTTAGTAAAGAATTTAACTTTTGTGGAGATTATCCAAAAATATCACCATCTATAAACCATTCAAAATACAAAGCCTGGGCCCGGGGCAGCAGCATGGCGGCTAAAGCCCTCACCTTGAATGCATCAGGATCCCATATGGATGCTGGTTCTAATCCCAGCAGCCCCACTTCCCATCCAGCTTCCTGCTAGTGGCCTGGGAAGGCAGCAGAGGACAGCCCAAAGCCTGTGACCCTGTTCTTGTGTGGGAGACCTGGAGGGTGCTCCTGGCTTTGGATCAGAACAGCTCTAGCTGTTGTGGCCACTTGGGTAATGAATCATTAAATGAAAGAGCTTCCTCTGCCTCTCCTCTCTGTATATCTGACTTTCCAATAAAAATAAATGAACCTTAAGCACACAAAGCCTGCTACAGACAGGTCAATAACGTATGAGACAATTTTTCTATTTTTAAGTGCACATTAAAAACGGGTAACTTTCACAGTAACTCACTCAAAATCCAAATCCCTAGTTGTTGAAGTTGTGGTTAATAATTAGCCTGAAATTCTGATATTTGGGCACCCAAAAGCAGCTTTCTCCCCCTTCAACGTTACAACATATCCCTTGCTAGGCAGACAACAGCACCCGATCATTTAGCTCGCTACTTACTAAATAATAAAGTACAGCTTTTTCTCCAATGTTACGATGTCCCTAAGAGTTCAGAAGGACAAAGCACCAGGGCAGGTTCTAGAACTGATCTTCCCTACAAGCTCCCAAACATGAACTGCACTTACTGCTTTGTTTCAGCAAAGAAATAAATCGTCGTCCTTCGCTTTTTTCCTCTGCCACCAGAGCTCAACTTTAAATAGGAGAGAACGTGTGTTCTGGGCATTGTTACAGGAGTGTGACACTCCCGAGCTTGGCCCCGACACCGAGGAACAACCCCAAATTCCCAGTCCAGTTCTGCACAGCGCAACAACCACGGCCGCCCTCCCGCACCCCACCACCGGGCAGCCTGGCTCCCCGAGGCCGAACCCGCGCCCCCGTGACCTCCAGCGGCTCCATAAAGAAACCTTGACCTGGCCACTTTACCCACGGCTGGCCCGTACTGGTTCCAAGGCAGGACTAGGACATAGGGTCTAGGGACCAAAGGACGGACACACCTGCCACCTGAGGAAAGCCCCATTACCTGGAACTCGGCGAACTCCTCACAGTTCACACCGCCACTGGGCGCCGCCATATTGGACAAACGCGAGGACCCCGTCGCAGGCCAATCACCGCGGAGCAAAGGTGGCCGCGGGGCCGCCTGACGAAATATGAAAAAGAGCGAGCCCCCAGCGGAGCCCCGCGAACCCCCCGAGCGCACGACCCGTGTTCGCGCGACCTCCAGGCCCTTCGGGGCTCGTCACCCGCCGTCCTGCCTTCTGACCCCACCCCACTTTAGGAGCCGGACGAAGAGTGTCAGAACCTGAGGGGCTTGTTGGCCCCCTCAGCATCTTCTTGGGAAAGGGGAAAGAATCTGGCGTGTCCACCCACCAGATCGCTGGAGGAGGGAATCTCCATCTCGACAAGGGAAGACTTCTTTGATCCCTGCCTTTCCTTGGTTTTCCCTCAGTTCCCAAAGTCAGGGGCAGGGCGTGGGCATTTCTAGCAGGATGGGTGGATAAGCGTTGGAAATGACAAAATGCTGTTTCAAAAACAAGTCCGCAGCAACCCAAGTGAGATCAACAGATACTCTAACTTCTCGGTTTAGCCTGAGAGACGCTCCAAAGGCCAACAAGAATTGGGGCTACAACGACTGCAGGGTAGCAGCGGTGCATCCCGGTTTATCCAGGGAGCGCATCCTTTCGGGAATTCGCAGGTCACGAACGTCCTGCGTTGTCCCTCCTGCTTTTGCTCGGTTTCTGACGGAGGACCGGCACCCCGGAGCCGCCGAGCTGCGCCCAGCGCCCCGCAGGCAGGGACGCGTCCGCGGGCCCCGGCGCGTCGCGCACGTCCCACACGGCGCGCGCGTCCCCGCGGCCCGCCCCCGGCCCGCCCTCTCCGGTGACATTGAGCGCCCCGGGCCGCGCCGCCTGCCGCGGTGCTGTGCTGCGCCCTGCACAGCTTGTAACGTTGAACGCCGAGCGGAGCAGGCGGCCATGGGGAGCCTCCGCGGCCTGCGCCTGGCGGCAGGTGAGGAGCGGGCCGATCCCGGGGAGGGACGCGGCTCGGGGGCCTGTGCTGCGTGCGTGGCCGTGGCGGGAGAGGGGGAGGCCTGGGCGAGCCGACTCCGGCGGTTGGCCCGGAGTGGTCCTAGCACCTGGTGCCCCATCTGCACAACTCTCTCCAACTTCCAGGCCCCGACTCCCTCCTTTTCCCCCCTCGCTCTGTCCCCTGTCGCTTCTTGGAGTTCCCTCCTTAAGGCACCTGCCGTCCCCAGCAGTCCCGCTCGCCGACTTCAGTCCATTTTCTGCCCTGACCCTCAGCACTCATTGAACTACCTGAGTCTTCCCGCTTCTCTGCTTACCCTTCAAGAGTGTCCCTGCTCCAAGAAAACCCCGGACTGTGATTTCCCACCCCTTCAGGCGAGGGATGTGGGTCTCAGAATTAGGGTAATTTTATTTTTTTAAATAGGGAATACAATTACCTTTAGCTGAATCCTCCAGTTCAGTGCCATTTCTTGTGTACACTTTGTTTTCATAGTAGACAGGTGTGTGATGGCGAGTTTGGAAGTCAGAAGCTAACTCTTTCTCGGAGAAACAAACGGGGCCTTGGCAAAGAAGCTGTTTGGAAACCAGTGCTTCCTTGCTTCTCCACTCAACTGGGTACCAGGTCACACTTACCAGTTCACCTCTGCGAACTTTGAGGTAGCATGCTCAGTGGACTAGTCAAATTTTTCTATGCAGTCAAAGAAAATGTTCTTCAGCTGTTCAAATAATGTTGTTTCAATGATGTACCTAGTCATGAAGTTCTCAAACACCCAAGTCTCTAAGGACTTGATAAAGTGAGCTTCTGTTTCTTGGTACCAAGTTATTCACAAATTGCTGAATTTCAGTTTTCAAAGAATCAGTGGGCTCCAAACTTGGTTGCTGAAACAATGTTAAACGTATGTTGTGAATCAAATAGTGGAAAAGCTATTTGAATAAGGAATCCTTTGTCAAGTTGGATACATAGCCAAAGAAAAGGTTCTGTTTTCTGTGCCTTGTTTTCCAGTACAGAATGCATTGGAAAGCATAGCTCGGCTGGACATTATTATTCCTTTAAAATCAAAAACTCCTTCGGTTCAAAGACCCAGGGCGGTTATTGATATCATGGATATTCGGCAATTTTGAACTAATTCACCTAAACTATTTGTGTGTGTCCTGCTAAATTTATCAAGCTTTTCAGCAGGGCAAGTAACAGAATCATGGCTCAGAGAAAAAAAAGACGGACTGTGTGAGAGGGACTTTATTTGCAACTAAAACTGAATTTGTTGAAAGTAATCCATCTTACTTTGAAACTATGTATATTATGCAAAATCTCTGTCCTTACAGACTTGGATGTTTGAGAACTTCATGACTAAGTACATCATTGAAACATTACTGGAACTGCTGAAGAACATTTTCATTGACTTTGCATAGAAAAATTTGACTAGTCCACTCAGCATGCTATCTGAGCAACTCTGGCCAAGAAATCTCACATTTTGTGAGCACCTTTGGTCTGATTTGTCTTACCATTCTTTGCCCATCTTACAGCTAAACACTGTCACATGCATTTTTTAAAAATTTGACTTCTATTAGCTTCCCTTTTGGGTACTCTTATCGTCCCTTCTCCATTTTATAAATGAAAAATGTAGGTCAGATCTTAGATTAAACCTTTCAAGATTACAACACAAAAAAGGATTTGAGCCATGAAGGGTGTCAGTGTCTTGTTATTCTAGAATGCAGGTTGTTGGCAGGGTTTAGGCCCGCCAGCAGGCCCCGGGGTCACTGAGGCTGAGGCGACATTGCTCTTTGGCCACAAGAAACACAGGGGACAAGCTGGTGAGGAATGTGCATCTATTCAGCCCAAGTTCCAGGTTTTTAAAGATCTAAGAAAAGGGAGGGTAAGAGCATTTCAGAGCATTTTTACCCGATAATGACACTGTGATTGAATGAAAGGCATGCATAATCCTGTTGACCTTCCAGTCATGTTAGAGGTCACATTCTATATACAGGGTTGGAAGTTACACCCTAGACCAGGGCAGACAAGCTCTAGGTCATGCCCACCAGGTAGGCCGAGACCCAGACCCAGGGATGATTTACCCACTGGCCATTGTTCAAGCTGCTCTTTCAGCATGTACCTTTATGTGTATTCGTCATGGTCAGTTTGATCTCATTAAAGTGAAATGGAAGTCATCAAATGCTTATTTATTTGTGAAAATGGCAGTACATATTCATGTGCAAATGTATTTTCAAGAAAGAAGACTGACTTAATAAAAATCCTTAACCAAAGGGATGGCTAATGGGATACAGATATACTCTAGATAGACTTTGCTTAGCCACAGTATTACTTGAAGTAAGTTGTTTTAGGTGATTGAAATTTCAGGTCACCAAAAGCTTAACCCTTTATATAATGGACTTTGAATTATTTCCATTGCGTATCTTCGCTGTCCTCCCTTGACAAACAGGTGAGTAATAGAAGCTTTGAGGAGCTTGAATTTGTTTGTTTTGTGCAGGTTAGTTCAGACAATCTGTAAGTAGGGATGGTTGACTTCCTGCACTTGAACACGGATGAGAGATCTTGTAAATTCTGAAATTGTGTTCAGATTTGTAGACAGGATACACATTACTGTGAGAGCATATCCTACATGTGTTGCTTAGGGCATTGATGAGGTGATGGGAACACACAGGGAGCTGAATTGCAACTGCCCTCCCCATCCTTTCAGGTAAAGACTGGGTCTATTTTGTTTTTACTGACTCCTCAGCACTTAACAATACCCAGCTCAAGGGAGACGTGCATACATTTTTGATGGAAGATACACATAGAAAGTGAATTTGTACACCTTTTTTCCCTTGATGGTCTTTCTCAAACAAGATGGTAATTAAGTCAACGGAATGGAATGGTCCAACCAAAATGTCTTTGCATCCTCCAAAATGCTTTGTTACTTTAAACTTCATTGGCTTGTCAAATGTTAAAATGAATTTAGTGTTAATATTACCAGTGTACTGGGGGCTGCCTTCTTGCCAGTTTAACCCATAACCCAGAGCTTGAGTCAAATGATATGTCAGAAGTCAAGTTGTCTAGTTCGTTAATTTTTGTAGATGAGGAGATCTGATGCCTGCAAAGGTAATTGACTTGCTAAGGGACATGGATGCAAAACCGAGACCTAACCTTGATTTCTAGGCCACGGTTCCCATTTTGTTTCCACTGCACTCTGCTCCTTCATCTTTTGCTTTGTTCTTACTAACCAACCCTAAATGGAAATGTTCATTTTAACTGCTCCTGTCTTTGGCTTTGTTGATTACTCTGTTTGCTTTTTTAAGGATTTTTCAAAAATTGTTTTCTTTATTTGGAAGGCAGAGTTACAGAGAGGGGTGGGTTCATCCACTGGTTCATTCCCAACAGCCTGGGCTGAACCAGGCTGAAGCCAGAAGCCAGGAGCTTCTTGTGGGCCATCATTCCCACCTTTCCCAGATGCCTGCGTAGGGAACTGGATTGGAAGTGGAGCTGTGGGGACTCAAACTGGCATTCCAATGGGATGCTAGCCCTACAGGCTGAGGCTTACACATTATGCTTCAATGCAGGCTTCAGTCAACAAATTTTCAAGCACATCTCCAGCCCATATACTATGCAAATTATATGAATGGATTGCTTCACTTTATAAGACAAGTTTATTGCACAGAACAACCACTCTAGGAAGTAAACCTAGAGAGCGTTTTGAAATATTGATTTCTGGCTTACAGAAGAGATCATAAAGTGTGGTGTTCTGGAACTGGTTCCTCTTGATTTTGTGCCTTCTCGTCCCACTTTCACAGGCAGCAGTGTTACACAGGTGGCTTGAAATCTGGTGTGGTGGGAATGATTGGCAAACACCATAGTTAAGGGGTTCTCCCTGTAAGCCCCTGTCTAAGAACCAGTACAGTAGTGGCTTTCAAGAATTCATAGGAAGGAAAAGTCAGGTAGTTTATGACTGTCAGCTGAAAGGCTCTGTAGAACTGGACAAGGTGGAAGTGACATGAGTAAAAGTAGGGGTGGTAATGAGTGAGTGCGTCTGAAGGTTAGTAAGAGAAAAGGATAAGCTTGGATTTCGATCCAGAGGTGATAGAAAATCTTGTGTGACCTTTGGATTTGAATCAGATGCATTTGGACAAAAAGGAAAACCTTTACGCAGCAGTCATGAAAGAAACAGTTCATGATTGCTCCAAGGCTAAGTAAGTTTTTTTCCCCAAATAGTGAAATTGTGTGGTTATGACTATATTTATTTTTCTTCTTGCCTTTTGTTATTTTCCACAGTTTTCTGGTAACAAACCTGAGTTCCCTTTATAATTAAGAGTTTTTTGTGTAAGATGGGTGAGATAACACTTTGGCAGGAAAAAGGCCATGGAAAGTTGAGTTTGGAATAAGTTTGTTCATCATCCCTCAGAAGAGAGATTGCAGGTAGAAGGGCTCAGAATGAGCAAGGACTGGAATGTTCTCAGGCATGCAGGTAGCGGGGAGAAAACAGCTGCCCACAGCCCAGGTCAGGAGCGAAGGCCTAGGCCTTCCAGGGCCACTCAGCTGCTAGTGAGCTGCGATGTTGAAGAGAGGACAAGCGATCACTAAAGTACAGCACCATCTCACTGAAGCTTGAAGCACACTTAGACTTGGAAAGCTTTTCTGCACGAGTTTCCTACAGTTTGAAAACTGGCCAGACTCCAAATGTTTTTTTTAGGGATCTGTTTTTTGGAAGATTCCCTACCCGCACAGAAACACAAATAGGGATCAAGCAAGCCCGCAGAAGCTAGGTGTTGCTGTGTCTGGTTCATTTTCCCTCTCTAGCCTGGTTCTTGTTTGTTGGCTTCTCAGTTACCACAGCTGTCCTATTTGCTTTATGCGGTGCACTTGATCTATCAGGTTGTGACATCACCTGCTCCCTTCACCATGCTGTGCCCTCACCCCAAGACCTGTCTGTTGGGGTTCAGTGAGTCCGAGCTAGACTCCAAGGCAAGTGAGATGATTTTGTCTAGTCCAAG